GGATATGAAATGTAGATGAAGGTGTAATGAAGTATAACACTTTTTTTCTTATAATAGAGGGAATCCAAGTCAGCCTAACAAGGGGCACTTGCTCTCTGGATTCTGCTTGCAGAAAAATTTAGTTTTAGGGGAAAAGGGTTGCATACAGAGTAGGTATAAAGTTTGTTCCCCATTGTGGCCTTCTGTCAGGATAGACAGTGAAGAATAAAAGGCTTTTAGGAGAGAAAAAGTTGAATGGGTATGAACAAGGAAAGGTATGGGAGAACAAGATGAAAATTAAAGTAACTATCCAAACTATACGTGTTGCTGCTTAAATCTTCGGTATCTGGGAAGGAATCTACTATTTAGTAGTGTTTATACTTCTTCACTATGAGGGTGGTGAGGCACTGGAACAGGTTGCCCAGAGAAGTTGTGGATGCTGCCTCCCTGGAAGTGTTCAAGGCCAGGTTGGATGGGGCTTTGAGCAACCTGGTCTAGTGGAAGGTGTCCCTGCCCATGGCAGGGGGGTTGGAACTAGGCAACCTTTAAGGTTCCTTCCAACCCAAACTATTCAATGATATGTCAGGAGCAGGTAAAGCAAAAATCAAGCTGAAAATATCCTAGCGGAACCGAGGAAAGGTTTTGTTTTGCAGGCTGATGAGCGGGTTTTGTGAATTATTTGAACTGGCTGATGTTCAGCTCGGTCTATTTATCTTGTACTTGAAGTGGCCTCGTATATTCTGCTCTGCTTAGAGCTTTAGTATGACTAGTTCATTTCTGTTCTCACCTTTCTACTAATACTTCAAAAGACAGATCAAAAAAGAAAGCAAAGTTTTCTGTAAAAACTAATCATGCAGGTGCATACTGCAAAAGCTGCCATGAGCAGTTCTTATCCAGTTGTCATAGGTGCTAGCATGTTAATTGCCTTTTTACCATGTTGGTGCTTAGCACTTTTTACTTAATGCTTAGTAGCATAGTACAAAAATGTTAGGAGAGAGCTTTTCTGTACTTTTAGTATTGGTTTGGAATGCTGTAATGTGTTTTACAATGGAACTGAGGGCTGGTTGCTGATAATTCTCAGTGCGAGGCACTTCTGTCTTGTTCCTGGTAAGCCCCACAAGGCACTGAAGAACTGGTTGACCTGAAAAGAGCCAGATTACCAGAGGGGGTAGCCTTTCCTCTCTGTAAGGTTGTTGGCTGGAAATTATTTTTCCAGTGTGCCTGTAGGAGTTATGTGGAAGCAGGGACTGGCACTGCCTATATAAAGAGTCGTGATTCCTAGGCAGAACACTAGGAAGAAGAGGGAAGATGAAAAAAAAAAAAAAAGAGGGAAAAAAAAAGGCAGGGGGGGCTTTTTCTGGGGTGCATGGGTTA